GCTGAGAACTTAGGCGGTCAGTAGGACACAGTAGGGTAAGCCGGTCTGTCTTTCCCTGATATCTCGTCACAATGGAGGACTGAGAGGTCAGACTCCCACGACCCAAAAACCTACTCCATTATTTGTTCATCTCTGCCCACTTCACTGACTCCTATTTCAGAAGAGAGTCGTTGTGGATGAATGAAAACAGGAAGCCAGTTACTGGAGACTGTGTACATATCACAGAGCTTAGAACTACTCTAGTATGCAGACTCTCTCTGTACATACTCAGAAAGGAGGCTCTCGTGGTCGAGATGTTACGATGTTCGCCTTTCATTCAATAAGTTCCGAGTTCGAATCCGGGCAGCAACGGAAAATTTTCTTCTCTAAAAGTATGTTCTCCTTGCACCTCCTTTCCTGCTCTCGTGGGTGGTTGGTGGGGGCTCTGGCGTGGTTTGCTCCTTCTTTCCTATCAAACATCTATCGTCCTGATCTCCTAGCTCCTCCTTCTTTTTTGTGTGCTACTGTCTTGCAACACCTCTAACTTTCGGCACTTGCATGACCTTATTGTTTTGCAAGTGCCGTAAAACTTTTACTAAAACGATACCTTCCTGCTCTGTAACAACGTTGTGTCGTCTGCTTTCATCTCCTCTATCTGCCCCCCCCTCCTCCCCCTCATCCTCCCTGCCTCCTCCTCTGGCTCCGGACTCTTTCTGCAGCCTTTCTACTCCTACCCCTTGGCTCCTTCTTACTGCTGTCTTTCAGCCACACCCCTGCTCTTATGGTAGATAAGATCTATCACCTAGCCTTCTCGGATAAGAGCGAAAAATCTCGAAAGTTCTGTGTGCAAGTTGCGCTCGTTAATGATCCCTTGGTGGTCTAAAATCGATAAAAGTCGGCCTCAGCCGCCACAAGGGCAAAATTCCAATGTTCTTACCAACTGAAAATGTTTAATGTGTCCTGCGCGCTTATTTGAACTTATGCAGTTGCGAGTGCCGTAAAACACTTGAAAAAAAAAGAAGAAATACTCAGAAAGATACCGTTGATGGTCGACTCTTGCCGTGTATGTAGGTGGTTTTCTACTTCTTTCCTTCCAAACATCCATTGTCCTTATCTGTCCCATTTTTGTGTTAATTACTCTCTTGTAACACCTCTAATCGTCGGTACTTAAATGACCTATTTCGTGCTTCAAGTGCTGTAAAACTGTATTACTTTTTAAAATATAAAGTCATGATTAGGAAAACCAATGTGATTATGCAAATTTACGTTTCTGATTTGTGATTTGGTGGTTCAATATAATATGTAGCAACACTGTCTTTTACTCTGCTGCTGCTGGTGGGCCATGTGTCCACTACTTTCTCAAAGAGTAACAGAAATCCGCTTTTAAGTACACATACCATGCCAAGATTTCTTCTATAATGTCTTTCGCACTTTCTTTCTCCTGGTTGGCGGGTGCTCTGGTATGATTTGCTCCTTCTTTCCTATTAAAACATCTCTATCGTTTTTATCTCCCCTCCTTCTTTTTTGTATTTGTTACTCTCTTATAACACCTCTGTTCTTCGGCACTTATACGACCTTATGCCGTTGCGAGCGCCGTAAAACCTCTACTAAAAAAATAAATTTAAAAAACTGTAATGTTTTTTTATATATAAAGTAGTGATTAGGAAAACCAATGCGATGAATTCTGCAAGATTTCTTCTATAATGTGTGGCGCATTTTCGTTCTCCTGGTTGGCGGGTGCTCTGGTGTTGTTTGCTCCTTCTTTCCTATCAAACATTTATCGTCTTTATCTCCCCTCCTTCTTTTTTTTGTGTTTGTTACTCTCTTGTAACTTCTTCTGCACTTATATGACCTTCTTGTGTTGCAAGCGCCTGTAAAACCTCTATTTAAAAAAAACTGTATTGTTTTTTTTTACATAAAGTAGTGATTAGGAAAACCAATGCGATGAATTCTGCAAGATTTCTTCTATAATGTCTTTCGCGTTTTCTTTCTCCTCAGGTGTGTCTATGTCACAGACTCTTTCCTTCCCTGTAAGACTGTCGGCAAACAGCAAAAAGTAGCCTGCTTAGTAACTTCTCGGCGACATCACGGACTCTAAAGGTGAGCTAAGAACACATTAAATATAATTGCGAATGCCTCCTAGGAAACTGAGAATGTCTGGGAATGTTAAAGACTGTTGGGGTGATAGTTCGTTGTAAAGCTTAAAGGGCATACACTGGACAGCAAGTACATGCACTCCATTATTGCTGTGTATTCTTCTTCTTCTTCTTCTTCTACTTTTTCTTCTTCTTTTTTTTCTTCTTCTTCTTCTTCTTTTTCTTCTTCTTCTTCTTCTTCTTCTTCTTCTTCTTCTTATTATTATTATTATTATTATTATTATTATTATTATTATTATTATTATTATTATTATTATTATTATTTGTCTAACTCATTGTTTGAAGTACCGAGTAATCGCCCTGTGTTCGTCACCGGTTTCAGTTTGTATAGTCCAAATAGAGCTTATTAATGACGAGTAACTCACACACATACACACGTACATTCTCACACATACACCAATACATACACATGCACACACATACACATACTCACATACACACACATACGCATACATACACACACACACAATCATACACATACCCATACATACACACACGCGCACACACACGAGTGCCCTCGCGCACACACATGCAGTGGCTTTCCAAAGACGCACCTTTGTTGGAGATTTATCGGAGAAGTATTTCAAAACCGGAGATCCTACCTCTTCAATAACCTCACGGCGTTAATAAAAGTTAAACGGTAAATTATTTGTTAATGCATTGCGCACTCATAGTTTAGTATCATGCTGTATCTCTTTGCGTATGATCATAGTTTGGATCCCAAACAGAAAGTTGTCGATCCCTTGTCGATCTGGACTAGTATTATAATATGGTCGCTTTTAAGGACAAGTGGGCTCTCCCGAAAAAATGCTGTTTTGAGAAAATCGAAGGTAAAGTTTTTGCCCCTTGTTCAGTTTCATTAAAAGACAAGGAGAGTTTTCTCTATAACCAAACAAATATACATACCAATGAAACCAAATTTTCCTATAGGTTGGGCAATGCCCTTTTTGTGTAGGTCAGGATTTCTGGAAACCCCCGAAATCTGGGTTAGCCCGCTTGTCCTTAAAAGCGACCATAAAATATGTACTTAGAAGTTTTAACTCTTGAGTGATGTAAAAACACATGACCGATCAGTAGCAGTTGAGTAAAAGCAATGTTGCGACACATCGTCGCCTCACAACTATTTAGTATAAAGTGCAATCTGTACTTAAGTTGTCTTTAGGCCATTCTCAAATGTTCTTATGCACTGTAGAATTGTAAATGGGCTGATTTATCAGTGCCATGCGTGGGTGGTTGGCGGGTGCTCTGATGCGGTTTGCTCCTTCTTTCCTATAGACGAATCTATCGTATATATCTCCCCTCCTTCTTTTTTGTGTTTGTTACTCTCTTGTAACACCTCTAACCTTCGGCACATATATGACCTTATTTTGTTGAAAGTGCCGTAAAACTCTTACTAAAACAATGCCATGCTCATACTGAGCCGGAAGAACACAAGGAGAACTACTTCTTTTTCTTTCCTCATCCTAACTATCCTAATTTTTCCTCTACTTCTTTTGTGTGTTTGTCACTCTCTTGTGAACTGCTATTTCCGGGGTGCCTTGATAGTCGAAGCAGACTTTGTGCTGTTGAAGCTAGAGAGGTGAGCAGAGTAAGCCGGATTCCCTGTTTGGACTTCTCTGTTGACATATATCCCTTGGCGCTCATATGACCTTATGCAGTTGAGAGTGCCGAATAAACTTACTAAAACTAACTGTACTTAAGTATTCTTTGGACATAACTGCTCTGAGCCAACGACATATCGAACCACTATACACAAACCAGAAACGCAAATTTGCATATTTCATAATGCGCTTGTTGTTGCCTGCCTTTTAAAGTGTTCGGTAAAGAAAACAGAACTGGGAAATCCTAATTATGAACAAAGTTAATGTGCTTCTTTTTAAAAAAAATATATAGTGCCCATCTCCCCTCCCATATCCAAAAAAATACAGTGAGTTTTGATCGGTATCGAATGACCTGAACGCTTGTCCTCCATATGTTAGAGAAACAGTGGCGTAGCGTTGAAGAGGACAATAATATAACCCGTTTTAGTACTCTTGCTTGGCGAATGAAACAGTACTAAACAGTCCTTACACAACATATTATTATCATTATCAAGCATCTTACTCGGGCCAAGCAGCTTTTACCAGAGTCGGGCCCAATCTCCGATCTATTTATTGACAGCGCCACTCCCCGATTTTAGTGTCCATAGATCAAAGATTTTGAATGGCACAGTGCTTGGGGGCCAATCTTGATAGTACGGACACCTTTAGATCAATGGATTCGGTGACCCCAAGTTGAACTGTTTGATTGGTGGGGCATTGACGTTGTCGACGTCGTAGACCCATTTACTTGAGGGGGGCGGGTCTTCTCAGGCCTACGTTAACCCCATCCGTACGTCGTGTTTTACTATCGTATCCATACGACGTGGGGAACTCTGTGCCACCACTTTCCAAAGAGAAAATTTACTCTTTAATCCGATACGAACACTTCTAGTACGAGGATCTCTTTGACACTTTCAGTATTTCTCAAAAACTCATTTTGACAGACTGCTATACAAAGCGCACAGATCGGATTAATGAGTAAATTTCCTCTTTGGAAAGTGGAGGCATAGAGTTTCTTACGTCGTATGGATACAATAGTAAAACACGACGTAAGGACAGTTGAACAAGTCTAAGAGAAGGCGTTTGTGAAATTGAGACGAAACGTGTTTGTTTTTTTCTGTCTTGTTTTGTTTTGGTTTTTTTGTTTTGTTTGTTTGTTTGTTTGTTTGTTTGATTG